TCCTATACCTATCTCATTCTTTCTCACATTTTCTTTCTACTTTGCACTCGACTGTCCGCACGCGTACGATTCTAAAGCTTGCTGCCTGTGTTCGCTACACAAAAAAAAAAAAAAAAAAAGAAAAACATGCTATTGAATAATAAGATTATTTCGATATTCGTTTTTATGAATATATGAATATATGTTTGTATGTTTTCTTTTCTTTTTTTTTTTTGTTTATTTTTTATTCCATATGTAAATATACGATTAATATAAATGAGAGTTGTTGAGAGAAAAAGAAAAAATAGAATATGATATTACATGTGAATGATTAAACCCTTAAGCAGCAATGATTTTGAAGAAAAAAAAAACGGCAAAAAAAAATCATTTTTTTTTTTTTGCATAAAGACATAGTTTAGAACATTGTTTTGAGAAATAAAAGAAAACTGAAAAAAAGAAAATACAGTGATAATGAATATTTTGATGTTAATTTTGGGATTTTGTTTGCACGTTACAGAGAAGAGCTGAATATTGCGATGTTATACACGTACGTCGGTTTTTTAATCTTTCTTTTTGAATTACTATTTCGGAAAAAAAAAAAAAAGAAAAAACGATTCTATTTCTTTGCTTTCACATTCTTATGTTTCCATTTTCTATTATATTTAAGGATAAAACATCCTAGAAATATAAAACAATTAGTTAATTAGTGTTATTTCGAGCGTGCTGCTTTTAAGGGGTTTAATCGACACATTATTGTTATTTAAAATTAAACAATATCATTACGAATTATTTCGCTCGGGACTAAAAAAAAAAAAAAAAGAAAAAAGAAAAAGAAATATTTTACATAGTAGAAGAAGAATAAGAAAAAAATATATATATTTCAATTAATGATTGTCTTTTTGAAGATCAATTATAATAATAATAATAATCTTTTTGTATAAAATAAAACACACAAGGAGAAGAAGAAGAAGAAGAAGAAATATAAAAAGTAAGAAACATAAGATGTAAATATGAAAGAGAATATTAATTATTTAAAAATAAAGATAAAAGTATAAACAAAAAAAAAGTAATAAAAAATAAAATAAAATTAAAAAATAAACGAATATACAAATAAAATATAGAAACGTCCGGATAAAAAATGAAAAAAAAACAAAAAAAACGTATTATGAAGAAAAAAAAAGAAGGAAAAAGAGAAATAAAGAAGAAGAAGAAGAAGAAGAAAATTGTCTTCAACGAGATCCGCTACTATTTTTAATTCTTACAATTAACCAGATATGAAAAAAAAAAGAAAAAAAGAAAAATGATAATATTTTTGCTTCGATGTGTCCATTAAAAAAAAAAAAAAAAAAAAAAAAAAAAANAAAAAAAGAAAAAAAACAGGAAAATATACGACAGAGAGAAAGAAAGAAAAAAAACAAGAAAAAGAAAAAATAAGAGCACGCATTTTGTTAACAAATTCTTTTGTCATTATTGTTAATGTTCTGCCGTCCAGAGAAAAAAAAAAAACAAAGAAAAAATGAAAAACAGCGATAGAGTTCAACATTTAAGAAATAAAATAACCTTAAATGAGAATAAAATAAAAATGGGAGGGAAAAAAGGTACTGAAAGTGGTTATTACAATAAAATAAGTGAAGGAAGATGGTGGGGTGGTGTTAAAGGGAAATGGTGGTGTTGAAAAAAAATGGTGGTGTTGAAGGAAACAAAATATACAGAATTGGGTCATCACACCCCTGTAAATTTGAATTATAAGAAGACAAAATGAAATTGTTCGTTTTATGTGCAATGAAACTTCATTAATTTCGTTTCTTTCCTTTATCGCATACTAAATAATGATAAAGATAAAAAATATAAAGATCCAAGATGAGAATAGGGATGAATGATGAATTAAATGATGGTAAAAGATAAAAATAGTAATAAGAGAAAAAGAAATTAAATGAAAAAGGGACGTTAAACGTTAACGGTCGTCGTCCTTTTTTTTTTCTTAACATTTAAGATTGTATTTAGCGTTTAAGCTGTAGATTACACAGACTGTGATAATTCTAATATTGTCAAATGATAACAAAAAAAAAAAACAAATATCGCTGTTTGTTCTAACATAAACTAAAAAAAAAAAAAAAAAAAAATAATAATAATAAAGGGACAACAAAAGAAACGCGAGATACGATTGAGGGAATAAAAAAAAAAAGAAGGATGGAGAAAATGAAAATTATTTTTACAGTTTACTTTTCGTGTTTTTTTGTTTTTTGTTTTTTTAAATGCAAGATAAACAAGAAAAATGAAATGAGAAAGAGAGAAGAAGAAAGAGTGTGTTGCGTGTTTGTTATTTTCAATAATTGACGCATATAAATAATTCATTTGTTTTTAATAAAGTTGTCTTTTCAACGTATTGTTTCATTCAATTGGATGATTTCTGTATATTATACAAATTTAGTTTACAATTTTTTTTTGGATCATTAGAAGAAAATGAAATTGTTTTTTTTTTCTTTCACTCTACTTTCCGATTCTTCTGTTATTTTTATTGTTCTTTTTTTTCCTTTTTCTTTTTTTCTTCTATTTTTTTTTTCTTTTTTTAACAAGAGTAATGGCCTCCGACGTGCAAAGAAAAATATTGTATTGTATCAGAAAATATCACAATACTCTTATTTATATATATACATACATATATATATTATATTTAGTCGAGTATGTTCTATCGATTATAAAATTTCGAATGCGAGGATTTGTACATAATTTATTTAATAAAGCATACGATGCGATTCAGTAAATTTTGCGAATTTTAATCATAGATTTCCCCCCCCCCATTTATTTTTTATTATACAAATAATAATAATAATAATAATAATAATAATAATAATGATAATATATTATATAATTATTTAATTTCAGTAAGTATAAAACGAGGAAACAATTATACAGTAATTCTTTTAATATATTATATATCTTAATAAATATAAATTACGTGTTACGTTGTTTGTCTGCAATGGACTCCTAAACTACTGAGTCGATTTTAATAAAATTTTGCACACTGTGTGCAGTTTCATTCAACTTGAAAGATACGATAGTTTATATCTCAATTTATAATTGCAATATTATTTTATTGTCAAATATTTGTTTAATAACAAAAAGTCATGATTAACTCTGCTACTTCGATAAGATTCTAACAGATAGCGATATAAGGTAATTCGTTGACTGGATTGAGTAAGTATCCAATAGATGGTGCCATGTTATATCTTAATATACGTAACAGACGTGTGTATCCGATTGAATATGATTGACGTAATAAAACAAAAGGAAGGGGAAAATTGAAAGTGTTTATACAGTTACTTTTTCTTTTTTTAACTTTTGTCTTTTCTTTTTCAATTGTAAAACCTTAACATCAGATGATAAGTAAAAAATCTATTTTAACAACTGTAGATAATGTGTTATTGTTATATTTAATATATTGTAA